CAAATCAAATCAAATCAAATCAAATCAAATCAAATCAAATCAAATCAAATCAAATCAAATCAAATCAAATCAAATCAAATCAAATCAAATCAAATCAAATCAAATCAAATCAAATCAAATCAAATCAAATGCTGACTCTAAACTTCTCATGGGATCCCTACACTGAATGATGACGAAATAGAATTGAAAATTAAACGAGACTTACCTGTAAGTTGAAGTTTGATGGTAATTCTATGGAGTCATCATGAAGTGTAAAGGGATCACATGCCCGCCCTAGTCTGTTAACATTCCCTATTTATGCTGTTCAGCATTTGCTACGCCTTTAAATATTGACTTATGGGATTTACACTTCATGATGACTCCATAGAATTACCATCAAACTTCAACTTACAGGTAAGTCTCGTTTAATTTTCAATTTTAAGGTGGTTTCTAGACTTCCTACTGTTGTTTTTCGACCATACATTTTAAATTCTCTTTTTGAAAATTTTGCTATGAACCGATGTGCTTCGTGTTTGGACCAGTATTTAAGCATTGACCAAAGCTGTTTCAGCATGGGTAAATTTAAGTAATCAGTCCTAGTTTTATAAATTATACCTACATTTTTTTGAAATCTTGCTTAGTACGTGATTTATCTGTTGATCCCAAGCAAGGTTTTTATCAATGTATACACCAAGTAGCTTGATATGGTATTTTTCAGTTGTATTTGGGATATTGATGTCTAGTGTTTTCTTATGATATGATTTTATAATCATGTAGTGAGTTTTTTCAAAATTTACTGTGAGTTTATTAGCTGAACAGTAATCAAGTCAGTATTATCATAACCAAGTTTAATTCGTTGGAGCTTTTAGAAGAGAAAAAGACAGTAGTGTCATCGGCAAATGATCTGAAGGAAATTTATCAGAACAATGATATATGTCATTTATATATAGTAGAGGGCCAAGAGTGGATCCTTGTGGAATTCCACGTACATGTAATTTGCAGCCTATTTGATTTATAGGTATCAATAATGACAGATTGTAAACGGTTGTGGAGATAGCTACTAAACCATTCCATAGCTTTCCCTCTAATCCCATAATGGAATAGGTTTTTTTAATAACATTGTCTGATTGACAGTATCAAAAGCTTTTCTGAGATCTAGAAATATGCCACAGGTAATCAGGCCATTGTCAATATTGGTTGGTCAGACAATTCAAGAATTGCATGTTCAGTTGAATATAATTTTTCCGGAATCCAAATTGATAATTATGCAGTATATTATGCTTATTGATAAAAGAAGAAATTTGGTTATATATCAGTCGTTCAAAGATTTTTGCAAAGGGAGATAATTATAAGTAATAGCATGGCTCTGAGGGAGATTAGGGATTAAATGTCCCCGAAGACGAGGGCAGATAAGTTGAAGTCTTTTATTTATCTGCCCGAGGTTGCGGACATTTAATCCCTAATCTCCCGAGGAAGCCATGCTATTACTTTGTAATACCATGACTTCCGAGGAAAAACGTGAAGTTGAACTTGAGCGAATTTGAATTCTTGTTTTTTGTATGCTCCAATGTTTTCAATCAGAAGTAATATAAACATTGCAACAAACAATTCATGCATGAATTGGAATGTGACATGAAAAGAATGGATACGCACTGTTCTAAGAGTAATGATCAAGTACTTTATTGTGTCATTGAAAAGGTTTTCGCAGAACAACAGTACAAAAAAATATTGGTAATCCGACCATTGTCACTGATTAGGAAAGCAAAAAGCTTTAAATTTTGATCTCCGAAACTTTGGGACTCTTCAACAATAGCTTTTACAGTTTTTTGAAGCGAACCGTGTTACGCTGCAGAAGAACAACAGGCATAGATCGTTCAAAATTGAATGAAATTGCCTGAAACTTCAGAGAAATGTAAAGAAAAACACAATACACAGGTAGAGATGTTTATTTTTGTTATATTTTAAATATTTCTAAAAAGTACACACTGCCTAGCTTGGGCTACCTGTGATCGCCTGGCTATTTTGATGCTCAACTCAAACTCTTCAAAGGCGAAAATACATACTTCAATTTCTACATACTTCAACTTCGATTTTCAAATTTCTCACGAAGAATACACAGAAAGGTCACATATATATTCTATTTCTTAAATTCGATGGAGGGTTTTTCGGATTGTCTTTAAATATCATTGAATTTTTTCAAAAAGTCTTAAAATCTGGTCTCTTTTCGTCGAATTTGACACTTCATACGGACTGTCAGGATCCGCTTGAATGATCACGGACTTTTAGTCCCCCTTAAGTTTGATATGCTTAACTATGGACGTAGCGGGAGCTCGGCTATAAGGGTTCTTAAAATTCATGATTCAGCAATAGCCGACGACTTTGACTACATAGCGGTATAAGTTAATTGAATGAGAAGCGTAGGTTTGAGGGTTCGAGTCTCAAAAAGATCGACAATATTTTTAATTTCATAAATACTACTTTTCAATATGGCTTCTGAAATTTGTAGGTTCACAGGAAAGAGATTCAAGAGAATAACTCAAAAACCTGAAAGAGGTCTTAATTTCAAAATTCAAAACCTGACCGGGCCTTTTCAAGAATTTCAAAATCTGCATCAAACAATGGGAACATGGTGCGGCTAGTTTATAATCAGTGTTAAGCAAAATATTGGATGATACTGACACTGTATTTTGTTTTGCTAGGCTCTTATCAATATTGCTGCAATGGAATATACTGTCCCAATTGTCCACTGCATTTTTACCTGAACAATACAAAGGCATTGATAGGAAACTTCACAAAAATGTCTTGCAAGCCCACGGATTTTGAATTTGTGCTAAGGGATTACTACCAACTCGGAAACGACTCCCTTGAGGTGTGTTCTGCATTTCGTATAACGTTGTGCCAATTTGTTTGGAATACTAAATAATTTTGATCTAAAACCTAGATTGCTTTTGACTTTCCCGATGAAGACCTAACATTATCCAAAACAGTTGGATCGATTGAAATAAAAGGTAATATATTATTTGACATCTTGTTTTAAAAATATCTAAACGTTTAAACATACTTGTGAAAAGCGAAGTTCCCACCAGATATTTGAAAATTCTCCTAGGAGCATGTCAACTCACTAATTGTCAGACAAGTCCAATACGATAAATCTAAGGACAAGAACTGAATGGAATTTCAATATCATTTTCAATGTCAAGGAATGGAAAGATTATGATTACCCTGCAGTGAGCTCCCCCCCCCCCCCTCTCCCGTTGTCTATCCAGTAGTAGCCTCTTTGTTATCACTTAATTCAGATCAGACTAGGATTTCTCTGTCATTCGACATGTTTCTTTACTATTACGCAGGGTTCCAAAGGAATCCCGAGTTTAAGTTTCGGACTTCTTTTTTATTGTCGTCGTCGCTTATCAGTCACAAATTGTCCAACCTATCACGTGAAATTCCATGTGCTAGCTTGATTTTTTTATGGTCATGGCGAGTCTTAATGCGCGACGGAAGACATGCATTCAACGTCAAATACGCTCAAATCCCTTTCAAATTCGCACATCATTCGCGGTATAGCCACACTAAAAGAGTCTAGCGTTTCTCAAAAGGGCATTTGGAGAGATACCGCGAATTTATCGTGAAATTTATCTTACTGCCTATCGAGAATTTTCTATCAAACAGCCTACCTGCAAGGCAAAATTTTGCCTCTAAATACAGTTTTAGTGTTTTTTTTCCTTATCGGCCTCCAAATCTACAATATTGAATGATAATACCCGATTCTTCAATATAAATTTGACGATCTGACGAACTTAAAATACTTTTTGACCTGCTTCTGTCGTCCCGGTTGGTTTTCTAAACGACTGTATCCAAACACCTTAATTAAATGATTGAATGTATTTTTAAAAAAGTCTTTTATGTTCTTCGCTTAATGAAATATCTCAAATCTAAAAATAGACATGTCTATAAAAACTTTGTTTCTAAACCCAATTCACATCATAGAACATAGATCATAGATCATGTTTTCACTAGCGAAAAGAACACTTTCCACAATCCTGCACTCTCTTATGGGCTGTTTTAATGGTTACGCAAAGCCTCCCCCGTACCCCCACAGTCAATGTTGGTTGATGGCCGGGGGGGGGGAGGGGTACTCCCATATATTTGCTATACGGGGACGTGCCGCTGGCCAGGGTATGGTTTTTGGCCTTGCTGTCTTTAACAGGGTATACATTTCACCCGAAATTGTCTTAAACAGGCTCGGCAATTTAGATAAAAGACCGATATATTTTTTTGGGGGGGTGTCTTAGACAGGGTAATATTTTTATAAGAAATACCGTAGAAATAATAGAAATACCGTTTCACTGTCCCAGGATTAACGTGTTATCAAAAGCTTCTTATTGTCTTTGATGGATGTCAGTATAATTGCAGTTTTGATGGTTGCGGCGTAGATATCTATTCCTTATTTTTCCGATTTTTCTTGAATGAACAGGGTATGGATTTTCACTTTTTAGTGTCTTTATCAGAGACAGGGATTTAGACCGCTGGAGGCATGTACCTATCCAAAACGGGGTTGATTGCGGGAATGTTTCGGTATGGAAGGAGGGTTTGTTACTTTGTCCCATGAATTTTGTCCATGATTGCAGGTTTCTTTATATATTGGAAGTAAAAAAGGTATTTTAACTGCTTTCATTGCAACTATATGATATATATATAATCACTTTCGTTTTAGCTGTAATCATTAATGAGTGCTCATTCGCCAATGGGATCTGCAGCTGGCTAAATACAGACAATGTAACCTGTTGGGAAATGTCAACTGATAAAAACGGTGCGTAAAAATAGTTTACTTTAAAATAGGTAAATTAAAACGATAATACGAAGAGAACACGCAATTAGTTATTTGCTTCATAATGACACAGAGATACCTGATATTCTACTCATGATGGTGATAATGATGAAGATGATGAAGAGATCATTGTTTTATATCGACAGACGAAGTATTCCCCTTTGTAAAAGTGGACAAAAAGTGCAGATCTACATTGATGAGTAATAATCTTCCTTGGRAACCGTACCAAATGAATACCAGTCTTTGCATTCAGTTTTCATATCGTATGTCTTCTGAAGGATCACTTTCAGTTGTACGTCACAGCAATGCCGGCGAAGAAAGGCTTTGGAATCTGACAGGTTATCAGGGATCCGCTTGGCACATAGGACGTGTTGAGCTATCAGGGATTAGTATACAGAAGGTAAAGGTTTTTAGTAATTTTAGATTCGAAATATACATGTATATAGAGTTGTTAGTTAGTATTTTGAAGTAACTATTCTGAGAGAAAGAGAAAAAAAGAAAATTTCACAAATTGCGCACGGTTTTGAGTTGCACGTCCTCTTACTGACACACTCTTGACGTCATAAACAAAACTCAAGTGTACATATTTTGTATGTCTTGTGATGTTATAGAGCGAATTACGGCATAGAAGTATTGAGGAGACAGAAAGAGGAAAGCACATGGTTTCGTACAACTATACTGACCATGATTATACAATGTTATATGCAGTTGAGTTAAATACAATTTTCCATTACTTAAAAGTACTTTTTATACAATTTTAGCCGTTTTTTTCGTCATTGCACTCATTTGTGTTCAATACTTTGATAAGCATGAATACATTTTCATGGGTCTTTTTGTAGATTGGATTTGAGGGACATGGCACGAAAAGCGGAAGCACAAGCGTAGGTCTTACCAACATCACTGTAGCAACACATAGGTGTGAAAGACATCCAATATATGCAAAGCCAGGTAGCACAGATACTAACAAATTCATGATTTGAATCATTAGAGTCCCAAATAACCTTTATGTAAAAAGTTGTACTTGCGTATTCAAATACTTTTACATGAAATATGAGATCACGCATTTTGCGTGATTCATGAAATGGACAGAAAGTTATTTTTTGAGATGGTATATGGGACCCTCTGTCATTATATGTAACATGGTTTCTTCGTTAATAGAAATGTTTCTATTGGTTTAGCTTCGTTTAGGCTGTGGTGAATTTGTACACAATCGCATCAAATCGCACTATCCAATCAATAATAATATGCATATGAGAGGGAACATCACAAAAGGGGTCTTGTGTCTAGCTGGATAATGCAGTCTTCCGAAAGACGCAATTAACTCACTCGCTGCATCAAAAGGGTCTTAATTCTTTAGCCTCCTTTTGTGCTGTCCCTACTCATGAGAGGGAACATCACAAAAGGGGTCTTGTGTCTAGCTGGATAATGCAGTCTTCCAAAAGACGCAATTAATTCACTCGCTGCATCAAAAGGGTCCTAATTCTTTAGCCTCGTTTTGTGCTGTCCCTACTCATATACTTTTTCACAATTTTTTAACAAGCAATTTCATTGATAAATTGAATGCACTCCATTCTAAGAAGTTGAATTAGAACCGTTTCCTGTATTTTTGAGTAGAGCTGGCCTTCTGCAAAAGGAACGAGTTTCAATGCGACAACAAACAATGTATCGATCAAAAGTTGAAGTGTGACGGTGACAAGCATTGTATCGATGGATCTGATGAAAGAGGCTGCGATTGTCCATGGGTCAATTTCCTGTGCCCAAGTGGAGAGTGCATCAATGTCGCCAGTGTGTGTGACAAAAAGCGAGACTGCACAGATGGAACTGACGAAACAAATTGTGGTAAGAGATTATAAAAATCTATTTCTTGCAAACTAGAATACAAAAACTAAATGTGTGCAAGACTTTTCATTATTTGCTGCTAAATAACTTAGCAATAAATACCACAAAATACTGCTA